ATGATGAAAGCAGAGAAAGGATGCTATAAAAGCTCAGAGTTGATAAATGAAGACATTGCATTATCTGGAGAGGACAACTGGGATAATTGACCACTGAAGTTTGGGAGTAGGTGTGCTAATCTGCTTGTTGTGTATATTAAGATCTTAGAAAGTTCAGGGGAACACTTCTGACCTGCAGAATATTATCAACATCTTCCACTACTTTTCCCTAGGAATGTCTTCCTCTCCTCACATGAATGGAAGTTGTATGAGGGTTCTGTTGGGGGAAGTAACACAAATGAGAACCTTTGAAAATCTGGAAAACTTTTGCCCCTGTCATAGCCGAGGGATGCTGCCTGTCTGGCCGGGTAACACTTTCAGTTTATGTAGCAGTGGGGCCTTCAAGTAGAAAGGCAAGTTGTTCCAGCATATCACACTCCTTCAAAACAGAAATAGCAGAATAGTCAATTAAAGTTGATTTCATTATCAACTTTATCAAATTATACCTACTGCCAACATTAAAGCTATGGTTAAGTGGGTTTGACCAGATGTCACATGTCTCTCTACAAGGCTAAGGTTCCTGAGGTTATCCTTCCAGTTCTAGTGCTTTTCCTTAAAGATGTTAAAATACATTTTCTCATCAATTGCTTTCTTTTTTCTACTCTCCTATTGCAATTCTCACATTCTCTGAGGCATTGTGCAAAACTTTCCTATCCTATCCTATCCTATCCTATCCTATCCTATCCTATCCTATCCTATCCTATCCTATCCTATCCTATCCTATCCTATCCATTTCATTCTATTCTTTATTCTATTTTCTTTTCTATTCTATTCTATTCTGTCCTATTCTATTCTATTCTATTCTAATTTCATTCTTTAGGGGCTTTTGCACACCTGCCACAGGCATCCACCACCCCCATCCACCTCAGTGCCTTCCTCCTGACAGTGGTCATCAGAACAATATCCTCTTTATTCTCACTAAATTGGTTGGAAATAAGTAACAAATTTGCTTACACGTCACCTATCTATCAGTTCCTTTATTGTAAGATTATCTGAGGACAGGTTTTCAGGGGCCTCCAGGATCTAATAGCCTCTCTCTGAATCTTTAAAGGGATGAGTAATTTCTGTATGATGTGCTACAACAATATTTAGAAACCTCCATCTATAGAAACTTCCAGATGGGAAGATTAGGTAGAATAGAGCGTATCTGAGGAAGCCTAGAAAATTGTATATGAAAACAGTGGAAAAGCAGAATATGTTTACTGACTTTACAGGCGGCCTATGTAGGAAAGTGTCCACAACTGAAAGAGCCTTTTTCCCCTTCCTTTTTAAAACTGCTATCGCTCGATAGTCTGTAAAGGAATTTCTAGGAGTGGTGGTGAGATGGTATGGAAAGAACAGTAAGAAAGAGATGCATAAACATGCTTTTCTCATTCTCTTAACTGAATGTGTGTGGAACACAACTCTCTTCTGCATGCTTGCTATAGTTCTTATGGGTCTGAGAGCTCTTTCACTTTCTAGATAAATTGAAGACCTGTTCAACACAAAGACAATATGCAGTAAATGGAATAGACATGTAGGAAGGGGAGACAGTAAAGCAGGATTCCTTCTGGCTTAAGGAATACTGCACATGTCGCAGAAAAATCTCCTAACAAGGAAATTTACTGATCAAAAATTCATTACCACAAAATTAGACTTTCCTTCTTGGGTTCACCAAAGCTCAAGCTTTTGAAACTGTAGAATAAAGAGCTAAATGCAGGTCAGTAGAGTCTTATTTCCAACTCTCACCAGAGAGTGAGAGCTCCCAGCAGTTCCTACACACTGGAAAGTCTGTGTTCCTTGGACTGTCTGTGCTTGCTGAGCAGTGCAGGTGTTGCTCAGAGCTGTTTGCATAGCCCAGGTTATGCCAGAAAGGGATGTGGTTCCAAGCTTCTCTCTCACACCATCCTGTGCTTTGTGCCAAAGGACAGAGGTGTTTGTGTGAACACTGGGATACATCTGCCATGTCTCCTGAACCCGGGGGGATGTCTGCTGTGTCTTCTGCCAGTAGCCCTCTCTGAACAGTGACAGCTGTGACAAATGCCACGTTTATTGCCACTGTCTGTTAGCAGACAAGTCCGGAGTTTAGAGACACATGAGTTTCAGAAGATATCCCAGGAACTAGGGAAAATTTGGAAAAGTTACCGGGATGATGATGTTTTCATGGATTAGAGTAAAAAAGTGTATGTTTGGTGCAGATACCTCTTCTAGTTAGTGCAAGAAGCACAGGTAGAGCAATACAGCTTGGTCCCTGTCTGTTCCTTAAGGACAGAATACAGTTGTGCTGCAGCCCGAAGGGCTGTGAGGATGTTGTTGTTCCCCTTTGCCTGGAGAGGCAGGATGCCTGCATTGCTGTCAGCATTACTAGTCGTGTTCCTGCTGCCAAGATCTCCTCTGAGGAAATCCCTACTATAGCTTTATGCCATAATCTAGGAAAGGAAAAAGCTGGTTGTGACCATTTAATCAGGCAGGGATAGATTGCATTTAGGGGATGATCAGTCACTCGTTGCTGTAGATTTGCAGATCTCTGCAAAGGTAGGTCTCTGCTTAAAACTGAGAGGTTTTTGGTCTTGTGAATCATATTCACTCTGATTTGAGACAATCCCAAACACTGTAGCATGTCTTTGACTGTGACCTTTCCAACAAGAGAAATGACTCCTTATGCCACCTTGCAAATCCAGCTCCTAAAGTAATTACACATGAGGAGTGGTCTGTGCAGGAGTGTGTTTGAAAAGAAAATGAGATTAAACTTTCCATTCTAGAAGAGTACCAGTATATCAATATCCAAATCAAATAACATAAAGTTTCCTTTGTCTGCCAGCTAGGAACAAGAATGCATTGTACCTCTAATATGATTTTTGCAGTGTCTCTAATATCATGAGGTTTAATTAAAATAAATATGACTGTATGCTTTTGAAGAGCTAATCAAGCTGAAACATTTTAGTCTAACTGATGTAGCACACGAAAATAAATATATATTTTTCTAGGCTGCCTGGTTTTATGCATGACTATTGTGCAGGATGGATGATGGGAAGACAATAATTGGATGAAACACTTGGGCTGTTCCTGGGTGTGCTTAGTGAAAGTCAGTAATAGGAAAATTATTTGAGTGTAGTCTGGATGACAGCACTATGGTTCTGCTAATTAATTAACTGAAGTTTATTGGTCTTATTGGTCTTATCAGCCTTTAATCAACTCTGCCCCATATGATTGATTTTTTTTTTAAGATATTTCTTTGTCCAGGCTATTCCAGTTCCAGTAGACTGGCACCACAAAACTAACCATTATAATGACAAAGCTCCATTCACTTATCTACCAGGACCTTTAGTACATTTGTTGTTGTTGTTGTTTGTTTGTTTTGCTTTAAAGTCCATTCTGTTCTTTCATTTTTACTCCCCCCAACCAACCTTTACCTCAGGAAATCTTTTCTTCTCCCTCAGTCTTGATTCACTGACCTCTGATTGCAAATTATGTACAATTGTTGCATTGAAAAGCAAAACTTCAGTAGCTTTAGCTAAGCAGCTTTGGCAGAGCAGAATAGATCTGTCCTGATTTGAAACTCTTGACAAACTCTTGACAAACCTAAGACTTTCTGACCTGGACTTTTGACTTACCACAGCTCGTGGTCTCAAAACAATTCTACAGAACTCCAAATTCTTAAAAGTACCATCTGAAAAACTATGCTTTCTAAAAAGCATGTGGCTGCTGGCTTTCTTTATGTCTCTCTTTCTGAATGACTGGTTCTGGTACACCTGTTTTAAGCACACCTCTTTGGGAGAGTTCCAAAATACGATTTGCTGAAGGACTATATTTCAAAAGCTCAGACTCCTACAGAACTGAATGCTGGAAAGGGATAAAACCAGCCCTGAGTAAGTTTTGTTACAAGTTGTTGCTCTGGGGCTATGAAAGTAGAATTAACAGGGGGTTCTGATTAACAGCTAAGACACAACTTGAAAGTACCTAACTATGGTGCCCAGTTGTTCATTAAAAACTCACACAGTCATTACAGGCTCCTCTGGAAGGTATTTACTGTAGAACATATTGTTGCCTCCAATGTGGGTTTGTACAGTTAAGCAAGTCACACTGTTTTCCTCTCAGTGAAAGAGGGATTACTCAACAAACGGTGGACTTGGAGCAAAAATTTGCCTCACTATAAAGCAGGCACATTTTTTTTTTAATGATGTCCTAAATTCCATAAGCTCGATTGTAACCAAAACAAAATACATACACTGGAGGCACCTCAAAGTTGGGGAGGATAAATCCCACCTCAGTTTTTGTGATGTTCATTGGTGGTGATGTGATACATCACACAAATGAAGCTGTTGGCTGAATTTGATGTGGAGAAGCTTAGGGTTTTGGTTCTTGAGTTCCTCAGATTTATCCCAGCTTTATGGACCAAATTGGCATTTCTTACATGTGTCAAGGGCTTGAAGTATTACATAGGTATTTTAGAAAAATGGTTACTTTTTTATATTTCTGTATTTTAACTTAAGATCCCTCTGCACTTCCAATCTCTACATTCAAGGTCTGCTCCCAGGTAGTAACTTCTGGGAGCACCAGAGATGACACAAAAGCTCCCTCTTAAGAACACTCCCTCTTCTGAAAGGTGTCCATTGCAGATAAAAGATGAAATTTCCCAGGTGAACTCCCACAGTCCTCATGGTGCTGGGTAGCAGATCTCTCTAGGATACATTTAAAGCTTTAACTTTTATTAGAAATAATGTTAATAGGTTAAGTGCTGTCACAGGATCAGCTATTCTCATTTTGAAATTCAGCCTGCCTACAGTTTAACATTAGTTTTCTTTAAATATCATGTTTGGGAACCTGGAACTCACAATAACAGTCTGCCTTGCTATCATTAATTATTGAGAATGCTATGTTTAATTACGAATACTACGTAGATAATCCTCAAGTGAAATCACAGGAGAAAAAGTAATCTCCCTGCAGAAATCACACCAGGAATCTGTCTGTGTTTTGTGCAGGTGATTCCAGCCTTTGCTCAGCCTGCGTTCATGAAAACAACGTTTACAGCAGAATATTTCAGATTTTGTACAGAAATGAAGAGATCATTCTTAATGAATCAATGAACTTCAGAGTGCACCTGCTTCTGGATGGCGAAAGGGTGAGTTGTTTTGGGATGCATGTGAAAACCAGGAGGGCTGGGATTCCTCTAATCTAACTTTAGGTCTGCATTGCAAATGTAACTCCATTTAAGAAGTTGTCATGAGGTCCATGTGCTGTCAGAGGTCTCAGCAGTGTAACTGGTGGAGGAAAAGGCACAATTTATCTGCTTGGTATACCATCAGCTGCCCTAGGAGGAGATTGACTGTCCTGCACCCATCAATACCTGTGTTGATGAGGATATCTGTTGTGATTTGTTTTTTTGTAAATCATTATCATCATCATGGCTAGGCTTCACAAACAAAGATTTGGGAAGAGCTCTACCCACGTTTGTTGCAAGCACATTGGTGGCTAAAAAGGCCAATACGAGACAGGTGCGTCCGGTTGCAGAAGGCACAGCAGAAAGACTCCTTAGGTGGTATATTCTGCAAGGCACAATTCTTTCTGCGTTGTCTTTTCTCCTCAAGGGTGATCCTGTGTGCTTTCTCAAAAGCATCAGCAACGTTATAGATGGTGTGTCTCCAGGTCTCCCGATTGGAGGCCAGAGTAGACCAGTTATGGTGATCAATATGGCCAAGACTGAGATGTTGTTTCAGGGAGTCCTTGTATCTCCTCTTTGGGGCTCCTCTCTTGCAGCAACCAGTGACAAGTTCACCATAAAGCAAGATCTTAGGGAGGCAGTGGTCCTTCATCCTGGAGACGTGCCCTGTCCATCGCAGCTGTGTTCTCAGTAACATGGCCTCAATACTTGTGACTGCTGCTTGTTCTAGAACAGATGTATTGGTCACGTAATCTGACCAGTGGATGTTTAGGATTGAACGGAGGCAGCATTGATGGAAGCGTTCTAGGAGATGCAGGTGGTGGCATAGAATTTTTTGTAAATGCTGACATTATAAACCTCCTGCATTGAGCCTGTTATAAAGAGTAGGCTACACTTTGGCTTTTCAGTGCAATAAGATGTTGAGGTACTCTGGTAAATTAGTCTATCAGAAACTCAAGTGTCTCAACCATAATTTGTTAATTTTTGCACTAGATCACTCACTTTACATAGCTGTGTAGATCAACCCCACCTGAGAAAGCTGGGAATTTGCTGCATCTTGCCAGGACCAGCTTCTTCTTCCATTATGACTTTCTCCTCCTCTCTCTTGTCACTGGTTTTTGCTACAGCTGCCCAGACCATTTCCACCACTCAGAGGTCTCCTGACCTTTCTCCTTAGTGCTCCTGATTGCAGGAGTGTGTGGAAGTGCTGCTGAGCTTACCCTTCCTTATAATCCATGTAAGACCTCTTTGCTTTCTGTTGCACCTCAGCTAGATTAGGTCCACACTGTGATCCTTCTCCTGATTTTCCATTTACTCCTTCAGCCAACAGTGGCACCCACACAAGGGATGTACAGCATCTGAGTCACCCAACTTGTAGAGCACCTATGGCTTACTCTTACTGATATGAAAATGTCTTCCAGTGGCTCCTTGCCAGGAGCTACAAGAGAGGAGCAATCTTTGTTCATGGAGAATACTGTTTAACTGGAGTCTTAAATACTAAGGGGAGAAAGTGTCATAGTAGAATGGCACTCAGGTCTGCCTTAAAGTGTCATAGCTGTGCTTTGCCAGCCCAAGGACTGGTAGAAAGTGCATGATATTTATAAGTGCCCTAAGTGCTGATGATGAGAGACACATCAGTATCTTTGCAAAGTCAGCATATCATCAAAAATAGGTGCTATAAGTTACACAGCCAGTGTGAATTATGTGCTGTGCATTGGGCATGGGGCCAGAGACACTCACTTGTCTTTCCTTGTATAACTTTCTATTTGATCATGAAGAGATTTAATATTTCTCTTTTGTCCTATTTCAACCCATACATATGTGTTATATACAGATCAAAATTAAAACAGCTTGAGAACCTAATTTAAGCTTAACATGCTTCCTTTTCTCTCCCACTTTCTTTTTGTGGTTTTAGTTTGATTTTTTTTTTAAGATAGTGTCTTCAATTTATTCCTCCCTAGAATTGTTGATTCGTGCTTGTATGAAAAATTACTAAATGCAAGTTTATCAATATTTGTTAGGAAAATGTCCCAACATGCTTAGTCAAACATTAATTTTATCCTACGTGTGTGGAACATCTCTGATTAAACATCTCTCCCTTCAAATTATAGCACTTTCCATTGTGTTGAGCACGAATGATTTCTGATGATTTTTGCATTATTATTCAGGAAAGTTGTGCACCTCACAAAATGCAAAAGAAATAAAAGTCCGCAAGACTCCTCACAGCTAAAACTCATTCTGACTCTTGATGTGCTCCATGCAGACACTTGACTTTCCATAGGAGACCCCTTGGCAAGAGGCCCAATTCTATACTTACAGAATGATTTTGCACAAACTCCATTTTTCTGTATTATGAAGTTGCTTTGGGTTTTCACAGATGTAGAATAAGAGGATAAACAGGTCTGTTGTCCCAGGTGAGTTGCTGAAGACACTCTAAAGGATCAAATACAAAACATAGAGGTCTGTAAAAATTTTTGTGTATTGAGTAGATTAGCACAATTTACCTCTGTTTAATGCTCCCAGGTCTCTTTTTTCAGCTTTGATGTCTTGTCCTGCACAACTCTACAAATCTGATATAAATGTGGGAGAGACAGAAGTGTGCCACTCCACTAGGCACCATGCTCAGAAGAAGACAAATATATCCACAACTATTCAGAGACAGCTTTACACCTTTGTCACGTAATCTCCTGTGTTGGCTGAAATCCTTGCAATCTGGTGTTGGCAAGACACCCAGAGATTTTAAAGTGTTTTAAATATTATCTCTGTTCATAATTCTTAATTTATTTAAAACACAACAGATGTGAATCCTTTTTTGTGCCAGTTGTGTGCTATGGTGAGTTTTCTTGGTTGAGGGTGAAAGTTCTGTTCAATGTTTTTAGTGTGAATGGAAGTTATGACAAGTAGACAAAAGAGTTAGTCTGGGTAATGGAAGTATTGAGTTCATATGGTCATAATAAGGGAGCAATGTGCTTTCTTCTCTTGATGCTTGGGTAGTTTTGCTGATGAGATAGTTTGCTGCGATAGGCTCAGATAAAACACCCCTAAATGACAAAACCCAATGTGGATATCCAGATTAGATTATTTGCTACTGGCTTTTTTTAATTCTTCCCCCCGCCCCCCCCCCCAGCATAACCCTAGATAAGCTTAAATATGTAAATACATCTTTTTTAGTGCGGCACTGAATGGAAGAAACCTCAATTATCTACCAAGAAGCGGCACTGAACACGCCTTTCACCTTATAAATGATGCCTTAAAACTCTCTGGGTTTTTAGATGCCTTTTTCTATATTATCCCAGCATACAGCAGCTTTTTGAATTCACAGGGAACAATATTGCTGTGGCAGCCTTTATTGTTGCAAAGAAGTCTAATTTATTTTCATAAGCTCTTGCTTTCATTCTTGTTAGAGAAGAAGCTTTGCCGCTTTCGTCAAGCAGTGAAACAGGTACCTTGTCGGGCTCCTCGCTTGCTGACCCTGTTCAGGGACAATTTAGTAGCAGGGGGAGGACAGAGTGAGGCAATCCAGGATATCACAGTGTATTAGATTTGTACTTTCCAGAGAAATTTAAGTGAACTGGGACATCCGGATCATTCAGTCTGACACTCTGACTAAATGTTTAAATATCGGGGAGGCACATCACAAGAATGCAGGAAGCTTCAGTAATAAGTATTATCACAGAGCTTAAAAACTAAACCCAAGATGCAAATGTAAACCTGAAAAATTAGAAAGCAAAACTGAAATGATGCACTTGATTCCAGGCCAGTTCAACAGAAATTGGAGTACTTTGCTTTGTATACACTTTTTATTGTATGAAATAGTTTTACTTTTCATGTATGAAAGTATGAAAATACTTTCTATTTTGCAGCTTCCGAACAGTGTTTACTAAAACGCATTTCTATGTAAGTACAGTCCTTTGGCAAGAGAGGTAGAGGTCAACAAACAGTCTGAACTTTTTGGCAGCACCTTCCGGAAAATTATGTGTGCTCAGATGAATATAGAGTGTTTTTGCACAAGCTATGAGGCCCAAGGTGGAAATTTGGGTGTATGGAATATTACAGAACAGAAAAATATTCGTTGTTTAGTATGAATGTACTCCTACAAACACAGATCATAGAAGCACAGAATGGTTTGGGCTGGAAAGGATTTGAAAAACCATCCATTTACAACATCCTGCCACGAGCAGAGACAGCTTCCACTATACCAGGTTGCTCAGGGCCCCATACAACCTGGCCTTGAACACTTCCAGGGATGGATCTTTATTTTCTCTTTCAAAAGTTGTGATTTTCATCATTAACACAACTAAAAGGTCAAGAAACTGTATAAAAAAACACTGGAAGACCCTTCACAGAGTATCTGGGAGGACATTGCTTAGCCTAACCAGTCAAATGCTAATGATATTCCAGATAAGTTTTTGAGGCTAATTTCTTAAGGAGTTTGGTGTGAAAATTCAAAGCTTTTTTTCAGGAGAAAAAACAAAATAGATAGTCTATCAAACTTTTGGAAAATTGTACAGTCTGTAAAGGATAACTACGGACAAAACCATAATAGTCCCATTAATGCTAAAATAAGAAATGAATATTTCATTTAAGGACAATATTATTTCATACAGGAGACCAAGGAATGATAGAAATTTCATTTCCCCTTCTGTATGAGCTATGGAAAGGCCATTTTGTTGTTTTCCTGTGTAAAGGATCTTATGCACCTATGTCTCTAATAAGTGAAAAAAAAACAACCAGCCGAAAGTCCAGCAAATATCAAAGCTGTATAGTAACATGTCACATGATTACTCTAATTCTGTTGTATCTCAACCTGTGCATAAGTCTTTTAATGATATTTTCTTGTAAAGAGATCAGTTTTTGAGCAGCTGTCCAATTTTCATTTAATATTTACATCCCCAGTATAAAAAGGAAAACATTTCTGTAGTGAAAACTGTGATTGATTTTTTATGGGGTTTTGCAGTATTCTGAGCAGTCTGATTCCAGTACAGTTTTGGGATTAAAAATACCCTATGTATGCAGCTCACTGCATGACCCCATGCAGTGATGAGTATCTCTCAGTCTCTCAGACATCTGTTCGTTGCCTCAAGGTGTTTTGAGTGAGTGTCACCAGCTATTGAACTTGTTTTGAACACAGTCTTAGATCTCAGTGACAGTTGCAGGTGCTCAGCAGTATTAGGCACAGACCCAAAATTTCATCCCCTTTGTTGGAGGAGGAGGTTTGCTTTGTCTGAAGCACTACACTGAATTCCTAGTTTAAATTCAGACTGTAGCTTCAGTAATGATTATTTTCTTGGCAACTGCCAGCAACTGCGATTTTTAGTGACAACAAGTCATTAAAAAGGAAAAAAGTACTTTTTTATTTTTTTAGTTGTTTTTTTTTCTTACGAAAGGCACATTTCCAGGTGTTTTGAGACAATTACAAAAGAGAAAGCAGATTTTCAGTAAATAGAAATGGGAACTGTCTCCTCACATCTCCATGCCTGTGGCCATGCTGGAAGAAATACCACATTACTGCAAAAGGGATTATGTTTTACATCTTTGATAATTTTGTCAAAGCACAATCAATCCCTAACTCTCAATTCAGGTAATGGCACATTGTAGATGCAGTTTCACCTTTGGAAAGCCCAGCTAAACACAGTTCGTGTTATGTATTTTATGGATCCCTCCTGTCAGGGCAGGCTAGATGCCTCTGATGATGCCTTCAGTGTATTTTTGGTGTGATCTGTTATTAAGAATGTGATGATCAGCTTTGAAGAGTACAATTAATTTTGCCTAATTTAAGCCATATAACATGAAAGTGTATCTAGGCCAAGATATTTCTCTAAGCTCTGTCTATTGTTAGTAGGAAGAGACAGGCACAAACAGAAATCAGTTGTCCTTCTCCAACATGTACCTAAGGATGGAGCAGCTCACTGTGTGCATCTGCTCGTTGCTTTCCAGTAACAGAAGACAGAACCCAAATGTCTCACCTCACGTTTTTTTGGCAAAAATGGGGTAAAAATAAGTTGTATTTATAATACCATATCTCCAGTCAATAACTTCACTTTTCCACCTGCATTCCTGTGCATCTCCTACTATATTCTGGCATACAATAAAGGATGCTTACATTCACAGAGGAAGAATATTTTTGTTATAAAATGTGCATTTTTTTTGGTTCATATTTCCATTTCAGTTGATGGAAATGATTTTTTTTATTTTTTTTTATTCTACTAACCCTACTTTTGTTGGGGGAAAAAAGACATTTCAAAAGAGTGAAGGAGAAAGTGCTGGTCAGCTTAATCCTTTTTCCATTCTAATTTATTTATTTCCATTGATCAGAGTTGTTTTAACTGTGCCAAGCTGGGATGTGTTATCCAATGTAGCTCTTTACAGATGAAGGTAATGAACTGTCAACTCCAGTACTGTTTCCAAAAATCCAATTAAACTATTTTATTGACAATAAAAGAAGGGTAATTTTACTGGTGGGACCTATTGAATGAGTTAGATAAATGTACCAGTGAGTAACACATGGTATCTTCAGTGGTTTTTGGTAAGCAGAATACTACCATGTATAGCCATGCTCAGGACCCTGCAACAAAGGGAAAGGTTAAACTTCTGTTAATTGAAGCTTTAAAAACAACAAAAGCCTTTGAATTTTGGAAAGAAAAAATGTCTAGATGAAGATCGATGGCAAACTTCCTCCACAAATTTGTGAAGGGCAAGAAAGGGTTACCAGGAGGCAGGAAAGCCTCAGTTTATTGAGAAACAAAGTAAAAGGCTAATGATAGGAGATCAGAAATTGCCAGAATTATTTGAGCCATTTCTGATTGCTTTAAACTGTAAACTTTGTCCCTTGAATTAGTTACAGGTAGGCAAACAGAAGGATTCGTGGCTATTTCTCATCCAAGAAAACCCAGTCCTTGCTGTCATTCACCTGACAAGACAACTCAAAGGAAGATTCACTCAATGAGGGAGAGCAGCTTCAGAAGTGCTCCTCTGACTCTTGGTGTGCAAAGAGCAAGGATCCAACAAATGCAGAGCTCTGTGTACTCTGGTTACTCTTGTCTGGAGTGATTTTCTTGACATGACAGGGCACCCAGGAGCAGATAACACCTCTAACTGCTCTGGTTCCCTCTGACTCCTTCAGCAATTACCTCGACTCACTGTCACATTTGCTTCTTTCTGCCTCTGTGATGGGGTGCTGCTGTTGCTGCATATTTTTGCTCTTATCAGACAAACCCACCCACCTTTGCCTTCTATGTTGAAGGTACCAATTTATAAAGGTAACCTTGTCTTTCTCTTTTTGTAGGTGGAAGATGCTTTGAATGAGGCAGATTTTCAGCTCAAGCTGGACCTGCACTTTACTGATAGTGAACAACAGTAAGTGCTGTTTTGAAGCTCAGTTGGTAATGTGGGGCTCTGTTCAATTGGGAAATTACTTTGATAAAATGAGAGTTCTTTGTAAAAAGGGATACCTTTGATAAGTCTTCCCTTTGCCTCAGTGTTGAAGTTTTTTCTGTTTCTTCTCTCTGCTTTGAAAAGTGTATCTCATGCTCCTCTTTAAAGGAACAACATTTTTCCTCCTTTAAATGTAAGTTTTTTCAAAGGTTATAAGTGTTGCTCTATCTCTGCTGCTGTTAAAGGGAATATCATCATTGACCTGCAGGTGGGCAGGGGCTGTGGTTCAGGAATGCACTTATCTCAGGAGGCAATGAAGTATTTCCTGGCTGAAGACAGGAGTATAAACATGCTAAGCTCTTTTCTCCTATTAAGAACAAAAGCTACCTCAATATTTTCAAGAGGAAGGAGTCTTCCCATTGAATTTGATTTTATCTAACTGCATTTGATCCCATAATCTTAGGTGAAGTGGGAGTAACATCCCTTCCTGAGACACAGCAGGAAGTGTGACCCCATATATTATTCAGCCTCACTGAATCAGGGAAAAGTCTGCCAATGACTTGAGCAGAGTTTGCAGGGGCTGGTAGTGTAGGGAAATCATCTGAGGTGTGTTTCATGCTGAGACTGTCTCGATGGGATTTTATTCATACCCACATAGAACTTAAACAAATTTCAAGAACAAGTTTCTGTTATCCTCAAGATACAAAAAGTGAAAATTTTTTCTCTCATGCAGGTGAGACTGGACCTTCAGTACTGGTGGGTCTTGAAGAGAGAAAAAACCAAACATTAAATGATAGCCAGGAATAAAAATAACTGAAAGTTATGGAATTGTGCTCCAACACATGCATTTAATTTCTGTTATAATATTAAAGATTATTCTGATTTACTATAAACAAAAGTAGTGGTTTTTAGAAAAAAAAATATTCTGCAAATCTTCTGGAAGCTTGGGACTAACCATATACCATACACAACCATTTCATCCTAGGTTTTCATAGTTCTGGGAAACAATTGGCTTCAAAAGGGTCTTTAATGCTGTAAAATAATTCCTCTTTAGAAATTTCACTTTAACTGGAAGGATGTGGTGAGGCACACTCCAGATTTACAGCTCAGTCTCTCACTATAGGTGACTGAGATGTCATGTGGTTGCCTGCACACCAGGATAGTTATTCTGGAATACTTATAACAAAATTTAAATTAAAGTCTTGACTTTCATTTACTTAAAAAGAAAAAAAAAAAAAAGGAAAGCTAATCCAACATGTACTGTTTCTCTGCAATTACTTCACCTAGTCTTTTGGTTTTCGGCCTCTTCCAAAAAGTTTTTTCAGAATAACAATCTGGAAAGGCACTCTGAATATTTTCAGCTGTGTCCGGCACAGGAATGCTTTTAACTCTCACTGGTTGCCTGGGCTGATTGTTCTTGTACAGAAAATCATAAATAGTAAGCTGTCCCATCTATGAGCACCCAAATAATCTGAACAGTTTGCTAAATGCATTTCCTTCTGTTGCTTAGTCTCCAGAACTAGTGGGTACATGGACATCAAGGGCAACCAGCGGGGAAAACCGGAATTGCATTGCACTTATTCTTTTTTTTATACAGTACATTCATATAACTCTACATATGTTATTTATTCTTTGTGTTTCTATTTATATTAGTTATATCTATATTAATGTTCAAATATCTATATTAATATTCATATTTATGCTTGGCACAAGTACAACACAAGATACTTTCAGTTATCTTACCCCTTAAGAAGCTGAGAAGTGATAAATTTCACACCTCAAGGCATCTCTCAGTCTGCTGCCTGTAGCACGTTATAGGCAGTGACAACTCAGGCCTTCACTAACCCTTGTTAAACCTCTTTCCCTTGCAGGCTGAGGGATGTTCCAGCAATCCCCGTGATCAGCAGCCGAACACTGTGTCTCCACTTCCACCCCCGGCGAGGTCTGCACCACCATGTCCCTGTCATGTTTGACTATTTCCACCTGTCAGTGATCTCTGTCACAGTCCATGCGTCCCTGGTGGCACTACACCAGCCTCTGATCAGGTAAAGGGCACAGAAATGTCTGTGGAAAAGCAGAGGAGATTTCTCTGCTGAGTTCTCTCATACAATTTGCTTACTGGATGGGAGAAGGATAGAGGATAATTTAATTTAAAGTTTTTTAGTCCTGGGCTAATGGAGATTGGGATTTACAACCAAACTCTGACACCGACCTCTTCCCTTGGTAAAGCATCAGAGGTCTGATGAAAAGTGGTAAAATTTTGGGAAAGAGGTTAAAAATTTTGACTAGTCTTGATCTCTCTATTCCCTACTTGTAATGAGAAAGTTAAAATAGTGCTTTCCTTGGCAGTTTTTTCTCTTTAATCTAAAAGCAACTAAGAACATTTACATTTCCCCCCCTGTGATGTTTTGTAAAGCATTCAGGACAGCTGGACTCTGATCTCATCCATGGCCTCTGTGTATGAGCATAATTCATAACATGGTTAGGAGGAGGCACAGAGGAGTCAACGCTGGATAAGGCTTCACTGGGTTATTCCTTTGCAGAATCATCTGGTTTTACTGTGCAGCAGTATAATACCAGCTGCCATGGGGTCTAGGTGTGATTTGTGTTATCTGATTCATAATGACTAGAAAATAACTTAGAACTCCTTCAAGTAAAACAGGGCTGGAGGTCAATATCCTCTAATATTAGAGCAGGCGAAGGGAAGCAAAGGTCTTTCTGGCAATTTACTTAGTGCTCAAACTTTTCAGTGCATGAGACAGAGTGTTGAGAGGTCTTGAAGCAAAATGCAGTGTTCAGCATTGTTCAGCTTCCCTTAACTCCAGCAAGATCTTGTCGTTTACCAAACGGCCATGAAACTCTAAACCTTGGCAAATACTGTGCAGAGAACACAGTGTCAGAGAGGAAAGATGAACCTGTAGAGTTTTTTCCTTGGGTTTCATGCTTTGACTTGATACATCTTTACTTCAGTTCTCCATTTGTGTGAAGGCATTGCTTGTACACAGTGTCACAGAATGAATTGAAAACATAAGAAGTTGAGCCTGAGGTTGAGAAGTCAGTCTGCCCCACCCCTGAAAGCGTTCAAGGCCAGATTGGACGGGGCTTTGAGCAACCTGGTCTGGTGGAAGGTATCTCTGCCCATGGCCAGGAGGCTGAAACTAAATAATCTTTAAGATCCCTTTCAACTCAAGCCTTTTGAAGATTCTATGATCTGTGGCAGTGATGTGTCTCATATCAGAGATCAGATTGACATATCTGTCTTCTGCTGATGTGATACAGGTAACTGCTGTATCTCTGTTCTGCTATGTGTCGACTTTTTTAATGATGAAATTAAATTGTAACAGACTACTAACCAGATAATTTTGCTCAGATAATTTACTTACTGTTCTGCTATAGAAAAGGATGAAAGAACAATAGTTACCAGCCTTAATGACTGTTTTGAGTGCTGTGTTATCCTCTAATGAATGGGGCTGCATAGGCTTGTTACTGTTATTAGGCGTAAATCACATGATGAGCAATTGTTCCATAGTCAGATTATTATAGCTTTTAAAATACTGTTTTGTGGACCTTTGTGAAGTATACAATGTATTTACTTAATGCAGTGGAATGAAGATTTTTGACAACACAATATACACTCTCATTTGCTTAAGCCCATAAAATCATTTTAAAGTGTGATACTAAGGATTTATCTTTTTCTTGATAAATATTCCAAACCTGAAGGGTTTTTATATCATGCATTTTCTCAGTATAAATCAGGATGAAGACACTACTGTAAAATAAATTGCACTCTAAAACAAAACCAGCCAACTAAAACTTGTTACATTTGCTCATAGCTCAGAGATTTCCTGTTTCTCACTTATCATAGAAGTTTAGTAGGAATATAGAAAAAAGACCATTGTAAAGTCATTTTTTGGGGGTTTTTTTTTGGTAACTGTATAGAACCTGAATGACTGGAAAGTATTTTTTGTCACATTATAGGAAAAAATAATCTCCAGATCATAGAATCACAGAGTGGCTTGGGTTGGAAGGGACCTTAAAGATAAATTAGTTCCAGCCTCCCTGACAGGGGCACACCTTCCACTAGAACAGGTTACTCCAAGCCCCATCCAACCTTGCCTTGAACACTTGCAAGGATGGAGATAGTTACATTATCCGGGAAAAAAATATCTATGCAGTGCTTCACAGTGGTTTTGTTTGCTATCTTGAACTGTCCCATCATGGTACATACTTTGTGTGTATATACATATTATTTCTGCACATATCTATAGCATCATGGCTGGGCTTCATGAACAAAGATCTGGGGAGGGCTCTACCCACGTTTGTTGCAAGCACATTGGTGGCTAAAAAGGCCAATACGAGACAGGCATGTCCGGTTGCAGAAGGCACAGCAGAAGGACTCCTTAGGTGGTGTATTCTGCAAGGCACGATTCTTTCTGCGTTGCCTTTTCTCCTCGAGAGTGATCCTGCGTGCTTTCTCAAAAGCTTCAGTAGCGTTATAGATGGTGTGTCTCCAGGCCTCCTGATTGGAGGCCAGAGTAGACCAGTTATGGTGATCAATATGGCCCAGGCTGAGATGTTGTTTCAAGGAGTCCTTGTATCTCCTCTTTGGGGCTCCTCTCTTGCGGCAGCCGGTGGCAAGTTCACCATAGAGCAGGATCTTAGGGAGGCGGTGGTGCTTCATCCTGGAGACGTGCCCTGCCCAACACAGCTGTGTTCTCAGTAACATGGCCTCAATACTTGTGACTGCTGCTTGTTCTAGAACAGATGTATTGGTCACATAATCTGACCAGTGGATGTTTAGGATTGAATGGAGGAAGCGTT